GGCACACACGCCTTTGACCCCAGGAAGTGATAGGGCAGGGTGAAGAAAGCTGTATAAGGTGTGAGGAGACAGGAACTAAAGGCTCTTTTGGCTGAGGCCTTTCAGGTGAGGACTCAGAGGCTTTCAGGGTCGGCTGAGGAGTTGGCGAGGTGAGGTTGGCTGTGGCGTGCTCTGCTTCTCTGATTTTTCAGCATTCACCCCAATATCTGGCTCAGGTTTTGTTTTGTTTTTGTTTTTTTCTTTCCAAGATTTAGAGACAGGGTTTCTCTGTGTAGTTTTGGTGTCTCTCCTGGAACTCACTCTGTAGACCAGGCTGGCCTTGAACTCACAGATCTGCCTGGCTCTGCCTCCCTAGTGCTGGCATTAAAGACATGAGCCACTACCGCCCGGCCGTGGCTCAGGGTTTTCTATTAATAAGACCATTTAAGATTCAAGCAGCAGTTAGGTTCCTCTAGACTGGACACAGGGGTAAGTAATAATTTGTGTTGAGGCTAGCTTGCCTTGCCATTTGTAAATTAAGGACTATGGAGAAAGGATGATATAGAGTCATATAGAAAGCTTACTTTTTCTTGCATGAACCACCCTTTATGTGTGAGTTTATGTAAAATTAAAAAAAAAAAACCCAGATGACTATGATATTCCGACTTCCTGGCTTTATAAATGCGATGAATACTGAGTAGCATTTTCTTTTAATTTCTTGATTGGTTTAGCCTCACTTTAATGTTTGAGGAATGCTTCCTGCATGTTTTGTTTAGACAGTGTGTTCTAATGGAAAGACCTTTAGATTGGGTAGTGAGATTCCATCATCTGTTTGTAAACGTCTTATATGGAAAGAGAAGAAAGCGTTAACCTCATAGTCCAAAGGAAAGAGTCCGGATTCAGAACAGCCAGTGACCAGTGGAGAGTGTGTGAGTCCATGCAGCATCTGATGGTGTTATTAAGAGTGTGTGGAGGAGACACAGGCTAAGTCCTCTAAGCTCTTGGGAGCCAAGGTGATGCCAAGGATGCCTTTCTTTCCGGCCCTTGGCTAGTTGTGATGCGCCACACCTCACTGCTTCCCTGTGGTTTTCCACCATACCCTCTTCCCTTCTCTCCCGGTCTGCCGGGTGTGTGCATGGATACACATGCTGAGGTCAGGAAGGGTTCTAGGCCTGAGCTCCTCCTCCATGGAGCCTGCCACGTTGCTCCCGGGGGACACAGCTGTCAGTCATCACAGTGGTGGTGGTGTGCTCCCCGGGGGTAAACGTGGCTCCCTCTTTCAATCATTTGCAGGCTTTGAGCCTGTGTGATATCTTTGAATCATCTACATTCTTTTTTTTTTTTTAAGTCATCCTCATTTTTTTTTATTATTTTTTTAGGGGGTGGGTGTGATCGGACACCGGATGGCCAGGTGCATTGATGTGGGTGCTGGGGATTGAACCCGGGTCCTCTAGACCATCAGTCAGTGCTCTTCACCACTGAGCCATATCTCTCCTCATCATCCTCATTATTAAAATTTTTTTTCTCTTTATAACTTGTTCCAAGTTCAGGTTCACAGTGACAGGAAGGGGTGCTGTGGGGTTGGGGCCGGTCACGTTAACCTTGCCGCCATGGAGCTAGAGAGCTAGGGAAACAGTAGAAGCCTGGTGGCAGCGCAGCCTTCAGAAGACCTTAACTTCCTCCTCTACACAGATACGCTGTGGTGAATATAACTGACCTGATTTATTTGGTGGTTTTCGTTGTTGTTGTTGTTTGGTTTTTATTTTATTTTATTTTTTTGTGAGACAGGGTCTTATGTAGCCCAGGCCGACCTAGAACTCACTGTGTAGCCAAGGGTGGCTTTGAACTCTTTATACTCCTGCCTCTGCTTCCCAAGGGCTGGTATTGTAGGTATGTACCACTGTGTCTTTAATATGAAAGACTACTTGATGGAAGGAAAGAGGCTATAAGAAGAATACAAAGGGGATGGTGGGGTGGTTTACCAGATAAAATGGATTTCCATGCAAAACTCATGACCTCATTCCATACCTGAATCTGTCAATGGAAGGAATAAACCAACTCTTTTGTTTGTTTGTTTGTTTGTTTTGTTTTTCGAGACAGGGTTTCTCTGTGTAGCTTTGCGCCTTTGCTGGATCTTGCTCTGTAGACTAGGCTGGCCTCGAACTCATAGAGATCTGCCTGCCTCTGCCTCCCATGTGCTGGGATTAAAGGCGTGCGCCACCACCGCCCAGCGTAAACCAACTCTTAATGTACACACACACACACACACACACACACACACACACACACACACAGGGAGAGAGAGAGAGAGAGAGAGAGACGTACACACACAGTTTTCTCTCACATACAGACACAGATGCAATAGTAATAATATAAAAATTTTTTAAAGTTAAAAATAAAACTGTAAGTCTCGTGTTAGCTGCGAAAAATACAAAAATACAAAAATCTCTTGGAATCACCCAAAGAACATTGTGTAGGTTCCTTCATAAGGCACAAGGCGACACAGGAGCAGCCTGTGACATGGACTTTGGAGTTACATGGAGGCTCTGTTTAGCTTCCTGGGACACACTTAACAGCCAGCTGCTTTGAGATCCCATGTGCGGCTCGATCATGAGGGTGACATGGTGGCTTCTGTGCTCCGCTGCCCTCAGTTCCCTGCGACCAGTCCAGCTCACCATGGAAATGTCCTGGAGCACGACACAGGACGTCAGGCTTTGCTACTGCTGAGGCCCGTGAAGTACCTGTTGGACTAGCCATCTTGCAAGCTTCACAAATGATTTTTTGTTGTTTATTCTGAATGTGACAGTGCCTATGAAATCTCTCTGAACCCCAGGAAATAAATACCGCAGAGAGTCTGCCTCTCCTTTTAATCCCAGGTTCCCAAGAAGCTGGGGAGAACATTGCAGAAGCCCCAGGGAAAGTTACAGAGATACTTAGGGCACAATCAGTGATTGGAACAGCGGCTCTAGAACCCTGGGACAGAATCCTTCAGCATCATGAAAACATTGTCTTCTCAGTGTTTACACCTAGCTCATTTGGTCCTTCATTTCTTGTTTTGCTTGTTACTTTATTTTTGACTTTTCAACAAGTCCCATGGAAATGCATTTTTTGTTACGTATGCCAAGCAAAAATTAAAATACCAGCATGGATACTGTTGCTGATCAACTGCATGGGTAAAAACCCTCTCATTGGCTGCGGAAGTTGTCAGTGGGCCCCTGACTGGAAGCCCCTTGTAATCAAACCTTTGGTTCTGTCTTTAGGAGTGTCTCGGCATCCTAGAACCCATTGTGTGCAAGCCCAGTGGAGTGTGAGCCTTGGTGGAGGGCAGTGTGGTACCGTAGCTGGTGACCGAGGAAATGACTCTGTGTCTAGGAGTCCAAGAATAATATTGATGAAATCGTTGTATAGCAAGGGCGGCGATGGGTCAAGGCTGTCTGAATCTGGGGTGCTTCTGTCCTGTTTCACGTGACCTGCTGCCCAAGAAGCCAAGGTGTTTACTCGTTCCCGACTCAGATTTTGGGGAAAGTGCTACCAGGTGGTTTGTTCTAGTTTCTCTTTTAGTTTTGTGTTCATTAAGCAGTGGCCTGGGAAATGACATTGTTTGTCTGACGGGAATGAGCCTCAGCGTCGAAGCTATGAGTTCTGGGAGAGGTGCATTTTGACTGTCTCTCCTTCGTGATATGCTGTCAGGTTGATCCTAGAACAACGGTTGGCATGGATTGATATAGTAAGGAGGGCAAAATACAGGTTAGCACGTTGGAAAGCATTTGTAATCTCTCTGCAGTGAGCTCAAACTTCAGAGAGATCTGGCCCGCGTGTCCTCCCCGCCCCCCTCTCCCTCCCAACACGGTTCTTTGCAGTCCTACCCTTGCACCCCAGTTCCCCCCTAATTCTGCCTGGAGGGAGGACAAGCTTCCCACATCTGGGACCTATGTTTGTCTGAAGGCCCCAGGGAGATCTCGCTCAGGATTGGCCCCGGCCCCTCCCTCCTCCCTCTGAACTCTATTTAGACTTACAGGAAAAGATTTGAGGCTTTTTGCAAGCTTTCAACTCCGAGGTATTTTGGAAAACTGTAATTTTGTTTGTTCCCCACTGTATGCTGTGGCTTCTTCAAACACCAGTGTGATTATTTTCTGCATCCTTTGCATAACAAGCATTTCTGCCTCGACTGCAGGCTCCAGAAGTACATTCTGGAGTGCATTCCGCACACAGCTCCTGCTCCTTGATGGTGGCTGTCTCCACAGCGGACAAGCTGGTTGCGATGCCTGGGCTGGCTTTCCAGGTGCCTCCTCAGTTGTGCCTGGGCACTTGGCCTCCGCATGCGCGGCAGCCAGACTTGCCCAGTGTGTTGCAGATTCCCTGGAAGCCACGAATTACTGCTGAGTTATTATTGAAGTTAATTTGATGATAATGAGGTGGTTCTGTGTAATAGCACTTTGGGTAGATTTTACCCATAAATTAGCAATTTGTGGGAGACCATTAGTAAGTGGCAGGGGCTCTCACATTGGATTGTTGGATAACTGGGGTTTGGATCCTAGATTTTTCACTTGCCTGCACCCCTAATCTATTTGGAATTTATTTTGGTATAAGAAGTCAACTTTGTATGTAGCTGTTCTTTTAAGACATTTTTGAAATATGTATGCATATATATTAAATATATATTATTAAATATATATGCATACATTAAATATATTAAATATTAAATATATTAAATTTACCATTTTAAACATTGTGGATATGTGTGGTGTATGTGTGTCTTCCCGTATGTGCACGTACATGCAGAAGGTTGACACTGTTTTCCTTAGCTGTCCACCCCCCCCCTTTTTTTTGATAGGATGGCTTAGTGAACCTGGAGTTCATTGTTTGCCTAGACTGGCTAGGGACCTGCCTGGCTCTGCCTTCCCCGCTGTGGGATTTCAGACATTTACCACTGTGCCGGTTTCTACACGGTTATTGCTATTCCATCTCAAGGCCTCATGCCTACTTTATGGCACTTTACAGACTGAGCCAACTTCCCATCCTCCAACTTCCACATTTTTATTTAAGTGTACAGTTTGATGGCATTGAGTACATTTATAACTTTTTGACCTTGAAGTTCTGACCTAGAAGCCACATTATTTTAACTTTTTGTATCTCACGTTCCTTTTAAGTTTTTGTTTGTCCAGGTTGACCTCGAACTCACAGTCTTCCTGCCTTAGCCTTGTGAGTGCTGGGATTGAAGGAGTGTTCCATGGAGTCTGGCAAGGCTGTAGTTGTCTGTAAAAGAGATTAAGAGTTAGAAAACCCTCGGCGTTTGTAAAGTGACACAGTGAGTGCTCAGTAAGGATTGTGGTTCAGAGGCTCACACTGCCAGCAGGCTACTTAAGGAGCCTGAGATTCTGGTGTCACATGCACGCCCCGTACACCGCACATATACATGCTTGGGAGTCATTACTCTCCACTCCGTCATAGTGTAGGTAGAGAATTCTCATTGCAAGAAATCAGATAGTTTTGCATCATTTTTGTGTTGACTTTAGCACAGGGCTAATAACGTGATTTGAACTTCAGGTGAGAAGGAGATTTTTAAGAAACAGATTGAGATTACAAAAGAATGAATAATAAAAAGATAAGACCTCAATATTCACCTATAAAACAGTACAGGAGACTTGAAAGTGGGGGAGGGCTTCTGAATATATTTTGCTATCTCCTCTTTTCAGAGCCTTAAAGGAAATTTCTTTTATTAAGAAGTTGTGAGAAGGAGCTGGAGACATGGCTCAGCCATTGACAGCACTGACTGCTCTTCCAAAGGACCCAGGTTCAATTCCCAACTCCCACAAGGCAGTTCAAACTGTCTGTAACTCCAGTCCCAGGGGATCTGACACCCTCACACAGACATACATGCAGACAAAACCCCAAGGTACATTAAATAAATAAATCTTAAAAAGAAAGAAGTTGTGAGTAGTAGTTATTTGTTACACGTAAGGAACTCAAGATGAGCAAATGATGTGGTCAGGTGAGGAAAAAGAGAAACCATAGAGAATGGTAAGCATTTTGCTTACATTTGAATCTTTTGGAAATTTCATGCATGAAGATAATACCCCAGTTAAATCTAGCACCCCCGAATTGTCCCAACAGGTCAAGTGGTTTATAGTTTAAAAATAGGGTGAGATGGTTTGTACTTTACAGTCAGCAATCTTCCTGCTCTTTGGTTCAGCAAGAAAACACTCATTTGCAAAAGGGATATAGGAACCATCCAATCAACTCTTTGTAGCTTTAAAATTCATGTTCTCACAATACTATATTCAGTCACCATCACAAACATGCCTTTCTTATCCACGCTGTCCTAGCTAAATGTGAACTTTAAAAATTGGAAATTCAGGCACTTTTTAGACAGTTTACTCTTTGTTTCATATTTTGGGGCTTAAAAAAAAAGTTGCCCAAGGAAAAAACTCATAGAAGGAGCCTAGCTTTTAGGTTGGCATGGTGTTTTGGACTATGATTGTGTTCTTGTTTGGGGGTATTGGTAGTAAATTAAGTTTAATTGAACAAATTTATTTCTGCAGCATGGATCATATTTGGTTTCTAAAAAGTAAGTGAAAAATGTCTAATTAAAATTCATCATCCAGTTACACGTGCTGGGTCACGGTATCAGAGTAGTGCCACGCCACTGCTATTATTGAATTAAGTAATACACATGCAGAGGGTGCTGACGTGGGGTAATAGTGGGCATGGGGTCAGAAGTTCCAGTCTGGCAATTCCCCCTGAGGAGTTGTGACAGAGACAGGCATTGGCCTCATGGCGTCGCAGCTCTTGGTAGATGCTTTCCTAACTCTTCTCCTTCCTTGTCACATGTTCTCGGGGTGACATTACATTCCTTATTCATATACTGATGTCTTCCTAGCTAACATTTTACCAAGGCATTTTTTTTGTGGGCCTTCAACCCCAGATCAAGTGGAGAACAGGTCCTCTGCTTGACTGCCCGCTGATGCTCTTAAATCAGTGCGGGAGAAAGGAGCCTCTTGGTGATTCCTGTCACTCCCAGTGTGTTTATTTTCCTGTATTCCTTTTAGTGAGCGAGGCACCACACTCCCGGGCACTGCCCTGCAGGGGTTGGGAGCCCCATGCTACTCCTTGCATTGCAGATTAGACTGATGGCTGAGCTCTGCTAACCCTGCTTCACAAGTGTCTCTCTTGTCCGTAGTTCCTTCCCGTTTCTCCTCACTCCTTCCCCTGCTTCTCCTGGTGGAGATGGTGGAGGTGATCCTCCATGAATCCCCTGCTGAGTGTCAGCGCCTTAGGGGGCTGATGGTGGTTCCTCAGAGAGAGCTACCTGTCCTTCTGTTCTGCATCCTGGCTGGGCCTGTGATCTGAGAGTGAGCAAGCTCCCCAAGTATTTGTCCAGAGACTCATCCCATGTCCATGGTTCGTGGAAACCTTCCTTAACCTTTGTCAGCGGAGTGGGATTTTACCACATTTAGAGATGTCCCTCTACGCTCCGTACATTCTCTTTTGTTGGCTTGTCTGCCTCCTCCGTCAGCCTCCGTGTTACTCTAAGTTATGTTCATATATACTATCACTTATGTTCATATATACTGACATGGCTTCTGTGTCTCACAAATGACATTCCAGTAAGTGACTGAGTGCCTGGGTGAATGTTCTAGTGCTTTTTGTCGGGGTGGGAGGGCACTTTGCCCAGCCCCCATGACCTGAGGCTGGACATCCTTCCATGATCTCCAGATGGAGAGGCTTTTGTTTTACCCCCTCCCTCGCACTGCCTCCGTGATGAGGATTAGACCTAGGGCTTCGCACATGCTGGGTAAAGACAAGTGTCACGTGGTTGTGCTGCACTCCAAGCTCCCAGGTCGAGCTTGTTGATGAGCAGAAGTACCGAGGTTGAACGCGACCCGATGACTGCAGTGAATTGTACATCTTTCTGTCAGGGGTCTGTCCCTGCTGTGACCGTTCCCATGATCTCACTTTTAATCCACAAACTCACATGGTAACCTGGATTGCATTTCACTACTGTAGTCACTTTCCAGTTACTCTCTGTTGGCTGCTTCCTACTTTTCTCCTCCCCTTGAAGCCTTGGCACCTTGTCTATCCCCCACTCCCAGCTCACTGGATCTGCGGGCCACCAGAAGGAACACCCGTCTGTCCTCACTGCTGAGGTGTTCGTTTACCTGCAGCTCTGTCCGCTCTGGCCACTAGCTCGCCTCTCTTGCTGTAGGAGGACTGTCAGTGGTCCTGGGGAGGGCACACCCCCAGCAGACCCCTGCCGCAGAACAGAGCACCATCAACTGTGCTCGTTATCTTCTAAAGCATCATTCCCCTCCCTCAGGCTGTTCTCCTCCGGGTGCAGACCTGCTGACACACTTCTTCCCTGTACCAGCCCTCTTCTGCTCCCCTTCGCTTTGGCTAGTGTAAACACACTCTAACTTATTTCTCTCCTAAAAGTTTTCAGTTGTGATAGAATAGTTAGAGAATGCACTTTTGCCGGGTGGTGGTGGCCACAGCGGCGGCGGCGGCGGCGGCGCACGCCTCTAATCCCAGCACTGGGGAGGCAGAGCCAGGTAGATCTTTGTGAGTTGGAGGCCAGCCTGGTCTACAGAGTGAGATCCAGGACAGCTCCAAAGCTACCCAGAGAAACCCTGTCTTGGAAAACTTAAAAAAAAAAAAAAAGAAAAAAAAATGCACTTTTAAACTTACAGTATAGCTGGGCGTGAACAAATAAATAAATTTATAGTATAAATGGTTTGCATGGTTCAGGAATGTGAAGTACATCACATTGTTATGTAGTCTGACTCCAGAACTCTGCATCTTGCAGAACAGGAACTTCTCCAGTTAAACACTTGGTCCATTAAATGAGTTTTCACCTTCCACATAGACCATTTCTTTATCTCCATTGCCCTGTCTGTGTTCAGTGATCCACTCTGTTCTCACACTTTGACTGCATTCCTTGGTGATTTTTCTAGAGAGGTCTTTTCTGTGCCGCTTGTGTCCCGACAGCCCTCCAGATAGGTCTTTCATGTTCTCGCCTTGCATGCTTCCTAGCTTCATGTCTTTACCTGTGTACGTAATGGACGTCTCCACTAACAACTCTAAAATGACCTTGACCTGCACCAGGTGTCTGCCCAGGTTTCTGTGCCTGAGGAAGGTCACTCGATTCTTTCCTGGAGGAGTCACATCTGGCTGTTCATTTTCTCTCAGAGCCGCCTCTGCAAGTCCCACCAGCTGTGCGCTCAGGTCTGTATCCTTACTTGTTACTAGGACAGTATGTGACAAGAACCACTTAAGGGAGGAGAGACTTACTTTGGCTTACAGTTGGAAGGGATGCAGTCCTCCATTGCAGAGAAGGCCTGGTCTAAGGAGCAGGAGGCAGCTGGTTCACACTGTATCTCTGCAGTCAGGAAGTGACGTCAGGCTATAAAACCTCAACATCCGCCCTCCTTGACCCACTCCCTCCAGCAAAGCTCTACCCGCTAAAAATTCCACAACCTTGGAGTCCAGATGTTCAGACACGTGAGCCTATGGGGGTGGGGTGGGTTGGGGAGGGGAGGGTGTTTCATATTGAAAGCACAACAGAGGCGTAAGCCCAGCCTGACCACCCTGTGCTGCACCCTGGGCTTACTCTGTCACAGCCACCACACCCACCCACCCAGCACTTCAGTCTTCCTGCCCCTTTTCCTTGCCTGTGGCAGCAGTCCTCAGCTACTCTGGCCCTTGCTCCTTCAGTCTGAAGGCACCTCTAGGAAGAGCCTTTTAAAGGTGAGTCAGACCCTAGGTAAAACACTCCAAGGGTTGGTAGATGCTGGAAGCCCAGATTTTTACCCCGAGACCACATCAGTGTCATTTTTTTTTCATTTTCTCACTGGGGTTCCCCCTGCCAGCAACCCTTCAGTGTGCCACCTGTCCCCACCCTAGGGCCGCTCATTGACTGTTCACGCTGGGATGGGGATCTAGCCACGAGGTCTTCTGGGACGTCGTCTGTTCCTCCTTGCAGCTGTTCGTGCTGTGAGTTCCTCCCTGCCAGCTCCATTTGAGAAGCCACAGCCCTCCCTGTGCTTCCTGGCACCCTCAGTCCACGCTTGCCAGCAGCGAGTCTGTGATTGGTTCGCTGGGTTCGTTCGTCCGGCCTCCTTAAAATGTCACTTCTGGAAGGCTGGGGTTCTGATGACGTCTGCTGTGCTTGCCGTCTGTGTAGAACTATGTGTGGCATGTAGTCAGTATGGTGTCAGTATTTACCAAGTAACTGAAGTTTTCACAAAGCAGAAATGTGTAATTAATTGCCTATCCCCCTCTTTTTTAGACCTCATTTGAAATTTCAAAGTCTTTTTTCATCCAATTCATTACCAAGATGATTTTTAAATTCCCCCAGACAGAAATGATATATATGAAAATGTCATAATGAAAATTATTATTTTGTATACTATCTAAAAAAATCTCTAATTTTCTCTTAATTTTCTAAGAACATACACATGACATTTTAATTTTTATAGTGCTGAACATTTTTATAATATGAAATGTCATTAATGATAAAAATTTTTACTTTTATGTATACAAGGAAATTGCTATAGATTTTCAAGTAGACTTACATTAAAATTTTCTTTCCTAGGGGTTATTACATTTAAATACATTAGAGTGGCTTTACGTCTTCCAAGTCCTGTCTGTGTGAGAATATCACTAGTAACATCTTTGAGGGGTTTTGTGGCAGTGATTTTTTTCTTTAACTTTCTAAGGAGCGTATTGAAATGGACACTGTGGGTAGCTTTTGAAGTTTTTGCTTCTGTGAGATTTGTTTTACTGATGTGATTGACACCATGTGGTATCAATTCTGAGTCCTCTGTGATTTCTACTTCAAAACACGGCTGCTGCTGCTGCTGCTGCTGCCCTTCCTGTTTGTTGTGTTTGACATGAGCTGTTAACTCCAGTTTCTCGACTTGCTAGTTAGGCAGAAATTGATTCCAGATCAAAGGAAAGATTCATTTTGCCGTCTTGGAACCCTTTAAAATGGCGATACACCTTCTGTGCCAAATTCAAAAGTCTCCTAGAGGGTCGATAATTTTATCTTTGATGATGAAAGATCTGATGTATGTAGTCTCACCCCTGAGATTATTTACAGTACATTTTTTTTTTAAAAAAAGAAAAAAAAAACTTGACTTGCCTCTAAAAGCCTTTTGATTTTTAAGAAGGAGAACCAGATTAGTAATAGATGTGGATGTTTCAGAAGCCGCAAAAGCCTTGCATGCACTTGGCCTCAGGTTGGGGGTGGGGAGGGGGGTGGAGTACTGGCTTCCCCAATGCTCCTGTTTGCCTTTTTATCTTTATCACTGGGAAGAGTGGTGTCCAGCCTGCCTTCGCGCTTCAAGAATCAAGTAATCCTCCTTATTCAGCCTCCCAAGTAGCTGGGAGTCCAGATGTGCACTCATGCCCAGTGTATTTATTGTTTTGTTTTGTTATTGTTGTTATTGTATTTACCATTTTGTGTATAATAAAGGATCCAATTAGCTGTGGGTCCTGGTGGGACTGATGCTTACTAGATATTTCAGGCTATGTTTGGTTTCAGAAGTTTCCAACTAAAGTCAAGACCGTGGAAAAATCTTTATGGTATAATCATTTTCTTCTAAGGGGCTTTTTGAGGTTTCCCTGGCATATTTCCCCATCTTTTGTGGTTGAGGACCACTCTTTCTGTCAGTACCCTCAGCCCTCACAGTGCGCGATATTTCATCCTTGACCACGAGCCTACAGAGATGGTAAAGTGTGAGACGGCAGAGTCCACTCACCAGTCCTTAGCGTCCCTAGGCATCACTGTCTGCACTTCAGCATGGCTCACCTGGCAGCAGCCGCTAGATTCCTTAATCACTAGGAATTGGTCTTGAGCAATCCTTTAGCAGAACGGCTGCTCCCTCCGTTATCAGCTATTCGACTTAATCAGTGAGGCATTCACTCCACTTCAAGTGTGATATCAGGAAGAGACCCCAGGATGAAAACTCCCAGAGGCCTCTGCTTTCCCCCTTGCACTCCAACAATCCCGGTCTCTTCCTCCTGCCACCGGTTGAGCAGCTGCTCCAAGTTCTGTTGTTCCTTCCAGGCAACCCTGGGCTTCTCTGCACCTGGAGGAAGCCCATTCCTACAGCAGCCTGTGCCCCTGTGTGCATGCAGACTTCTAGAGTTCCCCCGCTGAGCTGTGCATGCCTTCTTTGGACACTGAGATTGTTAGAGGGGGAGCCATGGACTACCCGAGTCAGCTGTCACCAGTTGAGCCCAGGACACTGCTGACTGCTTCCTTTGCATCATTTCCCTCCCCAACAATACAAGGGGCAAGCCAGTCTAGCACATATGGCTAGCAGTGTGCGGAGAGGAGGGATGGATGGATCGAGGGATGGATGGAGCTAGAGAAAACTGGTGAGTACGATTTAGTGGACAGAAAAGCCATCAAACTGGTTTTGAGATTTTCCACTTGTTATACAGAAGCATAATTAGGTTGGCCAGCCGCCACAGCACACACCTGTAATCCCAGCATTTCGAAAGCTAAGGCAGAAAAACCGTAAGTTCAAAGCCAGCCTAGACTAATAAGACATTGTCTCAAACAAACACCTTATCCCCAAATAAAACATACATACCTATATGTATGCATAGTTAGTCAACAAGGGTAGTTTGCTGGTATTTCTTGTGGAATATGCTTTCCAGTTACATCTAATCTACTTGTAACTCAGACCTTACGTCTTGCTGTGTGTTGGACTAAGTCAATGACAACACATTTGTGCCTATTCTTCTTAGAGTGCTTTGCTCTGTGTGGGCACTATTCTGAGGGCGTACTCTGTGTGGCCTAGTCTAACCCTTTCAAGAACTCTGGAGCAGCTGCTATTCTCGTCCTCATGTTGTAGGTGAGGAAACTGAGCAGCGGTAGGTGCTCATTTCCAAGTCTTCCCAGCTGAGTGCTAGGCCAGGGCTTGCAGTTACATTGTGTGGCCCAAGCACCTGCTTTCCAACCACATTCACCATCCCCTTCGTTCGGCACTCTTCACTGAGCTCTAGCTGTGTGGCTAAGGGCCTCACCAGTGTAGAACTTAGGTTCATGGCTGGGGAAGATAAATTAGCAACCAAAATACACAACTAAATAGAAATCCAAGTGCTAAGGGGAACACGAGAGGAGAGCGCTGCTATAAATAGTTCAAGCCTTGTGGAGCTGACCAGTGACACCTCCTTCTTGGTGGATCTTTCAGAAGTTTGCCTGAGAGCTGGACTCTCTCTAGTCTTTTAGGAGTCTGCTGTTATTTCTGCCTGTTTGGCCCTTGCAGTATCTGGTGGTTAATCTGCAGAGTCAGGATTGAGTCAGCCATGGGCTCTGTCCCATTGCCTGGAGCCACGATCCCTTACTCTGGGGCCTTTCCAGACATGCCCCTCCTGTGGGTGTGTGGTGAATCTTGGGGCTGGGCTCCTGTGTTTATGGAGAGCAGAGTGGAAAGTGAGGAAGTGGGTTTACCCTACGGGGGGGGGGGGGGCTTTGTGGAGCAGAGAGGAAGCTCGGCACAGATAGGAAGATGGAGGAGACCTTGCCTAATTAGTTGAAGAAGGCTGGGGACCCCAGGCCGTCCCTCTACACAAGATGCTCTCCCGAGGCAGTGGTCTCAGGAGGAGCCACAATATGAACGTGGGAACAGCTCTCCACAGCATTAGGAGGCACAGGGCCGCATGCAGGAGTGAGCCAGGACTTTGGACTTCCATGTGATGCTGACACATTTCACCAGTCTGACGTCATGGTTGGTGCTAACACAGGACTTCCCTCCTCTCTTATTTCACTGTTTGTGTTCAATTACTCGTGGTCAGCTGTGGTCCAAAAATAACATTTGTCTTCCCTCTCAAGAGAGAGACCACAGCCATACAACTTTTATCCCAGTCTATTATCGAACCTGTTCTGGTCTGCCACCCTTTATTGTTATTCTCTTGCTATGCCCCGTTTGTAAATTCAGCTTTTTCACAGGCATGCATATAGAAGACCAAACAAAGGATGGATGGACTCAGTACTGTCTGGGCTCTTTAGGCATTCCCTGGGAGTCTGGGGCTGCAACCTTCTTGGACTTGGACATGGTTGAGAATGCTGGCTTCTGCAGTTAATTTTCATGGCAGTATGGTTATGGTCTGACTTGGTTTTCCTGAAACTGGTCATGATGTTGACTTCCAAGAATAGGCCTTTTCTTCTGACCAACCAACAGGACGTGGTCCATGAGGTCCCCAGCTGTCCTGGCCCATCAGAGCTGGTACATTGAGGATGGCTAGTGACGGCAAACTTCGGATGTTATTGCTGGCACGTGGGGGCTTCATCCAGTTCCTCGTGAGCTACCACTTTTTTATACAAAAACAGTCCAGTGCCCTACCTCCAGGCAATCTTGCTGACTGCACACTGGATTCCACGTACTGTTTTTCTACCCTACCCT